GTCCAATGGGCACTTTTTGCTTTTGGGTCGAATCTTGAGGGTCCAACGGGTACTAGACCGATTTTTTTTTATTTATTTATTTAATCATTGATACATATTTTTTTCATATTTAAATACCTTGCCAACCTGTAAACATCAGGTTGTTGGCAAGCCAACGCTCGTTTTGCCGCTGTAATTAGCGCTTGTCTGGTAAAGTAATCTCCACCCTAGAGAAGATCACAGTAAAATAACAGTACCAGCTTTTGTGGTGTTGTATTTCTATCGGTGGGTAAGCTTTCAGGCCAGGGCTCCACGGGGTAGGGGATTGGGTCAGGGTAGGCAAAGGTGCGAGTGATGTTTTAATTGGTATCGCGAGCGTTTAAAGAATATGGTGGCCGCTTACTATCATCAGAGGGGCCATGCCCCTTTATTATGAAAAAAAATCCTCAATCATGAAGATATACCAGATGAAATTAAGCTAGAGCTATTTAAATAAAAATGTTAGAAGCATGCCAGGAAGCGACGTCGTCCTCAGCCACATGGCTATGGCGCAGCCCGGCGCACTATGTGGAGATCGAGTCGGTTTCGGGTCATAAATCTATAACTTCCATGTTTTTATAGATATACAGCTGATTTTTTTTTTAGGAAATCTGAGATAAACGTACTTTAAAATAATATACAGTCTATGCATATAAAAATATATTTAATAATTGCAAAAAAATACAAAACATGAAATATTGAAAAATTATCATAAATTTACGACTAATTTTAAACAATGTGACCTAAATGTTATAATTAATACAAAATAAACACATAAAATTACTCTTATTAATTAAATATAATAAGAAAAAGAAAATAACATAGAATTATATTATTCTACTAGCTCTACAGCTTCATCTATAAGTTCCATAGACTTTTTATTGGAAGGTTTTCTTAAACTTGTTATGTAAGGGTCTGAAGTGTACAAAAGTGTATGTAAAACGTCTTCATTTGTAGCTACTCTAGAGCATTTTCTAGCATGATGAAGTCTGAATCGTTTATAGTCTTTGTTCCTTGATTCCTGGGCATCTTCGGAGAGCTGTCCAAGAGGTAACACTGAATAATGCCGAATTACACTTTCCCCATGAATTAGGACTTTATGGACAGATGATGGCATATAATACCACATATATTTACTAACATATCGTTGTGCTGTATCGAAAGCATACTGTCCCAATTTCGTAGCATTAATTACTTTTCCGCTAGACATAACTTGAAGTAAAACATAAAATCGTTTTATCAATTCCTCATCCACACCGGTAATTTCTGCAGTGCACTGATAATTTTGAAAAAAATCGTCTAGCTGTATTACCGTCATTACTGTTACCAGAACCTTGCTTAGGTTTATCTATATTTAAACCAAGTTCTTCTCTGAACCTTCTTTGTACATATGTCTTCTTTTGTTTTTTCAAATCATTATTTTCTGTCGTTGTAGCAGACCATTTTTCAAAGCCTACATTATAAGATATATGTAAAATTAGTTCCATGAATCTAATCCAGCAATGTAAAGTCGAAAGCCCATATTGATAAGAATTTTCGTCAACAGGTTTATTTTGTACTTTTTCTAAATTGTTCATCTCTGTAGGTCTTGCACCACAAATAGTACATACAGCACCTGATGAAGTTTCTGACAAAACTTGAGCCACTTTCCCGTCAACCATTGTCAAAAATAATGTGTGTTTGATTTCAATACTTTCACCATTTTTATTGATTAAGCTTGTTGTGAGAGCGTTTCTTTGAGCTATAATTTCATTAACTACACTTGTAGTTTTCTCTGGTGTCTCTTTTGAAAATTCTATTAAAATGGGCCTACAAAATCTTACTGATGATGGAACAGGGTTTTCCCACAAAGTTTCATTTGTATTAATATCAACAAGTTTCAGAGGTACTAATGAAGATATAAATAAATTTGTGTCAGAAATTAACTCATCCTCTTCAGTTAAGACTTGCTTGTATTCACTTTGTCCGCTTGAGCCATCACAGCCCCATTTCGAATACAGCATTAAATGTTTTTTGCCAGCTTTGTATACACCATTGATTTTCAAAATTCTTGCAATAGTGTGATCCAGCAGATCTTGCTGTTTTATTTTTGCTGTAATATTATTAATTTCTGTGCTTGATCTTGGTGGGTAGCACATTCCTTTAGCTTCCTGAATTGATTTATATGACGGAAATAATACGCAGTTCTTCGCAATTAAGCAATTTCTCATGTTTTCATACTGTGCCACGTTAAGGTCCAACTCTATAAAAATACTGAGAGCTTCATCTTTAGAGTACGCTGTTAAATGTGCCGGTTCATTTAAAAGATTTTGACGTATTTCACTATTTTTATCTATGGGTAATACTCGTAAAATTTCGACAATGAATGCTTCTTCCGTTTCCCCTTGAGATCTCAATCCTTGAAGATATGAATTCAGTATAAAATCAAGGCCACATGTTTCAAGCAACTCCTTGTTTTTTCGTCTTTGTGTTCTATCGGAACTGTCTTCGTAGGTTTTAGAAGGGCGTCCTCGCTTCCCCGTCGATGTCGAAGGTTCAGATTCACAAGTAGGATCTTCCAGATTTACTGTGAATGTGGCATTCAACCACAGGCTATTCTGATTTAAAAAAATTTCTTTATTTCTGCCAGATTTTGTGTAGCGTTGACGAAAGTTCGTAATAAGATTTTTTTGTACACTCGCGACAATCTTAGCGATATTTGCCTCAGAAAAGTTGATAAAATTATTCCGTATATAACTTGTTAAAGCAACAACATGATTCCCGTCACTTTCAAACAAAACAAGACATAGGTCGCGTCTGGTACATTGGAATTCACTCATTGCGAGAGAGTAGGTGGTTAGATACACTATTAGTAACGACAATAACGAACGAAAAACAGTATGTAATTATTCAGTATGCAGATGCTCTATTTTATATTAAATAACTGATTTGATACGTATGCAAAGTATGGGAATAAAAACTATTTATCATTATGTGGTTACTCGGTTTCCTATGTGTTTTATTGATAATTTATTTTGTAGGCGAACTAAAAATGGTGAGAAATACTCGATACATTATCAAAACATAAACCGCAATTAATAATATATCACAAGTGTAACCTATATCAACCAATAAAACAAATAGATTCGCCCACGTATTTTTAAGAAATTATTACTATTTCATGTTATGATAGATAGCATTATGTTGTGCAATGAAGTTGCAACTTTTTTTTTCTTCCTGTATAAAAATATTAAATTTCCTATCAAATAACATCATTTACAGACCTTCGGCAAATTTCGGCAACTGTCAAAACTCTAATTGAAAGTTTCAGATACGCAAAAATGATATGTCATGAGATAAATATTTCTAGTAATTATATTTATAAATATATAGCATATTTGTGTATACCAAAAAAAAGTATATATTATAAGCTTTCTAAAATGGTATAATACTTGTATAATTTTTATTGCTAGCTTACTAGAAAATCATCCTGAAAAAAATACAAATTATGATGTTTTCGTGATAATTTTTCAATCATCGTATTTAGATGCTCTTTACTATAAAAAAGTATTAGTTACATACATAATTTATACATAATATAGTAGATCAACTTCTTAGCTATAGTTTGAGGTATAATACAAGTACCTGCGCCGATTTTTACAAAATGTATTTATGGCCAAGCTCTCTTAGGCACCTCCACATAGTGCGGCGCGGCGCTCGTCGCCACTAGGATGTGACGTCACAAAACTGTCATTGAAGCGTCAAAGGATACAATGTAATGTCACTTTGACCGGAAGTTTGCTGGCGTGTGACGTCATTTTAGTCTTCGCCAATCCCAGGCGTTTTTGGTCACGTGACCACAGAACAAAAAATCATTTTTGTATTTAATGATTTTTTAAAAAATGTTATTAATTATTATTTGTTCTCTCGGAATAGTAAAATCGCTTTTAATTCATATTGAATACAGATGCCAACAATTGGTTCTTTATTTTTCACTAGTGGCCCGCCCTCCCTAAGGGTAGGTAGGTGTATATTCTGGGGGTAGAATTGATCAAAATCCTTTCTTAGCGGATGCCTACGTCATAACATCTACCCGCATGCCAAATTTCAGTCCGATCCGTCCAGTGGTTTGGGCAGTGTTACCAACCCTTACCAAAATTTTACTCTAAGTATTTTTTAAATTCCCCTTAAATCCCCTATAGAAATTTATATGTACCTACTTATCTTATTACCTAAATTCTTTCGTTGCTCATAAATTAAAACGTTACATATTTAATTACAGTAAATTATTTTATTGGATAAATACATTTTCCGAATGGAAAATCAAACGAAAATGAGCTGACAGGCTGTTAAATCTTATTTAGCTGTTTTGATAGGTGGAAGGCAAAGAACTTTAGTCCATACAGCCTGAGGAAACAATCTGCCACACAGTCAGTTCAGTCGTTTCATATCGTGGTGCGTTCCATTCTACGCAAAAACTGAAAGAAAAACACGCTTTGTTTTTCGATTTAATTGCAAGTTTTGTTAAAAGCCCCTAAAAGAACCCCCAAAAAATTCCAGCCCCTAAAAAAGTCCGTTTGAACCCTTCTAGCCCCTAAATCTGGGGGCAAAACCCCTAAGTTGGGAACCGTGTTGGGCTGTGCGTTGATAGATCACTATGTCAGTCAGTCACCTTTGAGTTTTATATTAATAGATACTGATATCGATTCTGGCATGATTCTCTAAAGCTAAACTTAAATTTGACAACAGTGCATCCTTGTCATTCTCTATACAGAATGAAAAGGAGAGACTGATGTTAAATTTAGTTTTAAGTTTAGAGAATGACGCTAGAATCGTGTCGACTGTCAATAGCCAGTTTTAAATGGTCTAAATTACGATTCCGATTAGAGTGCGCTGCAGTATGGAGGTTCATACAATGAATATGACGGTCCCTTTCCCAGTTGGTATGTCTGGTCTGCTACAACCGTTCACTAAAAATCTAATATGGTTATTTCGCCTAACATGTCCAGGTCCGGGCGAGAGCTACACCGACTACGTGGCGACGCGGTGGTACCGGGCGCCCGAGCTCTTAGTTGGTGACACCATGTACAGCACACCGGTCGACGTGTGGGCTATAGGTGAGCAGAACTGTCAAACTCTATACTAATTTGACAATTGAGCGTGATAAAAACGTGCTTCTTTTTATTAGTGTACTGAGTGACCCCCTTCAAAATTTCAGACTGAAACCGCGCCGGATTTAGACGTGTGCAGGTCCGTCCCCCTCCCCCCCCAATCTAAGGTCAAATTGAAAAATCTCAAAAATTTGCCAAATAATAAAAGGAAAATTTCTAGCTGTCCCCTAACAGCGATCAATTTATAGTTTGCTGACATCTAGTGGTGTTTTTATGAACTACGTACGATGGCCAAAATAACTTGGAAATGACATCTAGTACTAGATAGTATATGTTTATAAATAGAATATATTTATCGCTGTGCTCATGCTAGAGGGACTGGGCCGGATTTAGACGTGTGCAGGTCAGGCGCGGTCTCAGTCTGAAATTTTGGAGGAGGTGACTCACTACACTAATAAAAAGAAGAAAAAAAGGAATTTGGAATAAAATAAACATTATTGCGAAGAAACGACGCATGTCGATTTTGCTAGACTTACCAAAACTACGTAGTGCGGTTCCTTGGTTCTAAACTAGTACTAGATGTCATTTCCAAGTTATTTTGGTCATCGTACGTAGTTCATAAAAACACCACTAGATGTCAGCAAACTATAAATTTATCGCTGTTAGGGGATAGCTAGAAATTTCCTTTTATTATTTTAGATTTTGGGGGGTGGGGTCATGTCCCCTGTGACTTCGGACCGCGCCTGGTGCAGGTCCTGTGTCCTTTTATCTCTGTAGTGTGGGACCTTAAGCCACAGCCCCCGCTGCCCTGCCTTAAATTCGGCTCCATGGGCGTAGCCAAGTACGGGCAGGGGGGGGCAGCTGCCCCCCCCCCAGATCAAATAATCCAAAAATTAAATATAAATTAAAAAAAATATATAGAATCGCACATCACTCTCATTAGTCTCGTTACTAAAGCTCTAATTTCGATAGGACTACTCGTAAACAGTGAAGTGATTTCGTACGTACGTTAAGCATTTCTTGGACGTAAAATGATGGATATAAGGATTTTTTTTAAAACTGTAGTCTGTATAATGTTACTGTGCGTACAACTAACAAGTATTAAGGTATTTTTTAAAATATAATTTTGCCGGGCCATCTATCGTAGCCACACATTGCCGGGCAACTATGGCCCGTTTAGAACACAGGTTTAGAAGCATTATAAAAATAAGTTAAGTTCGCTCTTGTTCTCAACACAACCCACCAGCAAAAATGTTAGGTGTCCAGCGAAAGATGGAACAAAAAAATTTACATGCAATTTCAGGTGAAGTCTTGAAACGGTTCTGCGAAGAACCGAGAAATTGCTCTTGTTTATATGAAATTTAGTTTTTGTAGCGAACATATTAGTTTCACTTGCCTGCCTAAAGTAAATCCTGGCTACGCCCTTGTTCGGCTCCATCTTAAATCCGACCCTATCTTGACCACTAACTTCTTGACTCGTATCACGCCACGATATCCTACATAATTGATAATAGCAATCTCATGCTATTAAAACTTTTGCTGTTAACTAAGTACTTTTAATAGGGGTGAAGACGGGGTACAGTAAACGAAATTCTATTTAGTCCGTCGGTTAGGTGATCAAAAAATAAGGGACACATATTTTTTCTTTGGGCAATCAATCAAAAAATGACAAAGTTATAGCGCGTCAAAGTTTGGTAGTAGGGGCTCGTGACGTCACTTTTAAGTGAAAATTGTACCAAAACGTGACGTCATGCGAGTTTTCAAATCAATATATCTCTGCAATGTTTATATTATGTGAAAAAAGAATAAATACGTGTCCAATACTTTTTGATAATCTACCTACCTGATAAACGAAGAAAAAAAAATAGTCATCATCCCTATTGTTGTACCTACTGAATAAATACTTTCAATGAGAATCAGGTCGGATTCATCCGGATTGAAAATGGCGCCGGATTGCAATACCTGCTTCCTACCGCATCATCTATCTTTGCGACTGGAATCCACTTACACTTAACATTAGGGCACGGTAATATTATGATTAGGGGTTATTTGTCACGACTTGTATAAAAAAAGTATAAAAACGAAAATTCGAAAAAGGAGTACCTAGTCATTTTAATAAGGTTATAATGAATATTTAGAATTTTAAGACCGTAACTGGCTGGCTGTAAATATCCCATTGACTTTCCAATTATTGTGGTTATCTACCAACGATATGAAGGGTTTTCAATATCGTTGTTCTACATAATTACATTGTATTGAAACTATTCTTTATATTCTTGTCAGGTTGTGTATTTGCCGAGTTGCTGTCCAGTGAAGCCCTGTGGCCGGGAAAGAGCGATTTGGACCAATTGTACCTAATAAGGAAGACCTTAGGAGATCTTCTACCAAGACACATGACCATTTTTTCACAGAACACATTCTTTCAGGTAATTTTAAGAAATGAATATAAATTTATTCGCGGCCACCCGCTACTTCGCCCGCTTTAACTCCGTCTTTTTGAGAATCCCACAGGAACCCAAAAAAAAATCCGGGAAAAAAGTACTTATCCTATGTCTCAATACAGGTAATCAACTTACATAAAGGTATGCGTACCAAATCTATCCAAATCCGTTCAATAGTTTTTGCATAATTGAGTCACAAACATGTACACTTTCACATTTATAATAAGACTAGCGGCCCGCCCTCGCTTCGCTTCGGTGTAGAGCTGAAGTGTAGACTACAGTTTTTGTTCTCAGGCTTGTATTATACACAATGACATTCATCTATGATTCTTCTTATACCTGCATACAAAGTCTCAGCCCGATCGGTTTAAAATTGACAAAGTTTCATACAAACTTTCCTTATTCCCTATTTTATCCCCTTGGGGGTAGGATTGATCAAAATCCTTTCTTAGCGGATGCCTACGTCATAACATCTACCTGCATGCCAAATTTCAGTCCGATCCGCCCAGTGGTTTGGGCTGTGCGTTGCGTTGATAGATCACTATGTCAGTCAGTCACCTTCGAGTTTTATATAAATAGATAAATGGGATTAAATTGTCAGTATTTAGAGATCTTGTGTGGGTACAGAACAGTACATTCACTTCAAGAAGGATATATCCAGGTGCGTTATTCGGAATATCGCGCCACGGGCCATTTACGATATGCATCCCCCCTACAATTAGTAAAATGGTTTTCATCGCCCCTGGAAGCTATTGCAACTACCCCTCTTAGCCTGCAGCCCCGGGCCATGCCTCTCTTGGCTCTATGGTAAATACGCTTATACGCCCCTCCCCGGCTAGGTCAGGAAGCTGTTTGGTGCGAAGACGCGGTGAAGTCCTTCATCGGGGATCTTGCGGTTCCGCACTTAACAGCGTGGAGGGTATTCGCAGCGTTTTTTAGCGGATGGTATGCCGTAAGCGCTCGTAAGCCGCGCGGACTGCTTAAGGGTACGGCCAGAGTGCACTCAGATTCAGATTCAGATTCAGATTCCGAAAACAAGCGCGAGAAATAAACAGTGTAGTTAAAGCAGGGTGGCCATAGTGGCAGCAGGCAACCTGCTTAAACTACACTGTATATTTCTCGCGCTTGTTTTCTGAGTCTGAATCTGATTCTGAATCTGAGTGCACTGTGGCCGTACCCTATCGGCTTCTCCGTTGCGCACCCGTGAGACTTGCAAGTGGTTAGGTGTGAGGTCCGTTCGTTGGTGTGCCCCTTAAGGGCGCCAACGTCTCTCTCTCTCATTAATAAAGGTTTTGTCTACGTAAAAAAAGGGTTAAAGACGTCCCTTACAATAACCGTTATGTCCTTTCCTTATTTAAGAATTCTACTTGGTGTTGCATAATTTTCGAAAATTTATTAACTAGTTTGAAATGATGAAGATGCTAAGTTTTTTGTAACACCTTTTTAATTCTTTTTTTTTACAGGGCATGGCGCTTCCTGAACCCACAACTATAGAACCACTAGAAAAGAAAATACCTCAGCGATATGCAAATAATGAACTCGTTGTAGATTTTTTACAAGTAAGTACTGAAATGATATTATATATTATTTAAGAACATCTTAAAAATTAGTAACTCATCCTCAAAAAAGTGCATGTGTCCATGGGCGGCAGGCAGGGACCACTTTCAATCCTCTCAGTCAATCTTCAACTCCTTAATAATACAGCTAGAGGAGCTCGATGGCGCAAGTGGTTAGCGCGTTCGGCTGCGATCGTTGAAGTTAAGCAACTTTCTCAGTGGTCGGTCATTGGATGGGTGACCAAAAATTTACTATCTCGAGTTCCGCCGTGCTTCGGAAGGCACGTTAAGCCGTTGGTTCCGGCTGCATCTGCAGGCGTTAGCACCTGCCAATCCGCACTGGGCCCGCGTGGTGGGTCATGGCCCAATCTCCCTATTCCATCCATAGGGAAGGCCTGTGTCCTGGCAGTGGGGACATTAATAGGCTGATGATGTAGATTTTTTACAAGTACTGAAATTTTATTATATATTATTTAAGAACATTTTAAAAATTAGTAACTCATCCTCAAAAAAGTGCATGTGTCCATGGGCGGCAGGCAGGGACCACTTTCAATCCTCTATCAATCAATCTTCAACTCCTTAATAATACAGTTACAGTAATAATACAGGGAGAAAAAAAAACGGCCCTCGTTGAGTTTCTTGCCGGTTTTTCTCAGTACAAGGTCTCCCGCGGTAGTTTTGCGAACCGATGGCGTAGCTTCTTGACATTCACAAGTGCTTGTAACAGCCTAGACTGAATATATGATTTTTTTTAAAGTTTTTTATTCTAGTAAGTAACAAGGTATTTCATTAAGACGAGATATTTCCTTTTTTTTCAGAAATGCTTAGACAAGGATCCAATGATGAGGTGGACCTGCGAGCAGTTGTTACGGCATCCCATATTCGAGAATTTCCTGTTCACAGTCCCTCATTCAGACCACGAAGAGTATGAGAAAGCTAAGAGAGCTCAAGTAAGATAACATTGATAAGCAAAAGTGATTCCCTACACACCATATCCTTGAAAATAATTTTCAAAAATAGCATGCATGATTTTAATTACAACCTAAACATCACTTTAAAGGTTCGCGCACATTATGACGGGGCGCAGCGGGCCGCATATTCCGCCGCGGGCCGCATATTCCGCCGTGGATTTTGGTTGCGTGCGATGCGGCTAGGATTGCCAACTGTACTATAATAGTATAGTATTGTACTATATACTGTTGAAGAAACACATAGTACCTACGCAAAAAATACTATATTTTCAACATCGAAAACTACGAAACAATTTTTTTTATTTGAAAATTGTATGAACGTCCCTTTTCATTATCTTTTGACTGATGCAATAGCGCGTATAGCGTATCCAAACGTATCTTACTGCGTTCCGAACTTGTCAAAGTCAAATTATTTTCGTCTACTTTTTGAGTTTTTCGTTAAATACGTATTTGTTTATTTGACTTTATTTTTTTAAAGCATCGTCAGAAAAACACTATATTTCGCTAAAGAAACGTTGGCAACCCTAGATGCGGCCTCGGCTCGCTGCGCCCAGTCACAGTCTGCTATAGAAAGCGAATTGAAGTGCATACAGTTGCACGGAGGTCTGGCAGTACACTGTACCCAAAAACCGTCAGTACGCTGCCACCCGGGCCCGTCACTTATGTGCTAAGTAAGCATTTTGCGATGCGCTGCGGCCCGTCCCGCCCTGACATAATGTGTGCGAACCATTAAAAAGAAATGTAGTGCTAACAGCTTCTTTTCTGTAATTGGTCCTTCGAGCATTTTTTCAAAGCAGCTTTTGCCAGTACAAAAGCAAAATTAGAACGGCATCTTAAGACATTATTTTGCCCCTGCGCATAATGCTTGTTACAAAATGTGCGAGTTATTTTAATGTTTATATTAAGAATAGATACCGATTAAACTCATGAAATCAATTGCGCATTATTAATTTCAATAAATTTCCATGATATTGTCATTTATTTATCCAGACCACATACGGACACCCATTGGCTATGTTGGCGTATTTCCCGATCAATTAGGTTAACCCTTGCCTTAAATCCGGCACTTATCATAAGAAGGTGGTGTTGGTGAGGGTGGCCATTCACCTAACGGGATTGCTATGGCATACGCTATCGCTTACTTAAGGTTTTCAAATGCACGCGCTCTTTTTTTCTTTTGTATTGGTAACAACAATATTAAAGAAAATAAGCACAAGGTATTTGAAAACCTTCGGCGGTCAGATAAATGAATGAAATTGTAAGCGATAGTGATAGCCATAGCAATTCCGTTAGGCTATTTACCCCCTGGGCATTAAGCAAGTTCCGTCGCTGTGTTCTTTCCTTCAAGGCGTGTTTCTAACATTTATTTCTTCTTATCGCTCCGCGCGTCGCTCTAAAAGCGCTGTCCCACGATCTATGTTGTTGCAGATGAACCATTAATTATTTATGCTTTGATATCTGAAAAGCATTGAGAAAATGATCGAGTGATTAGAATGATATTTGCACAGTTATCTTGGCTTAATCTTGTGTTCTGTAGTTAAATCATGATACTCTAATATTTCAAAATCTTTTTTGTTGCGAGCCTTTCATACTGGAATAATATTTTTATGTAAGTATGTACTACCTGCTACTGCATTTTACTATCGCTATTACAAATCAAAGTAGGTAACTACCTATATTTTCAAGGAAGTCATAATAAGGTAAATAAAACCAAGGTAGCATACAACTATAAACCCCGAAGCAAGTCGAATGTTTTTCCACAACGTTGATAAATATTAGTACCTAAGGGCGCTTGTTAACGAGACGCTTTTCCGCCGTGCTGAGGCAGTGTTCCAAACCGTGTCTACGTCCTGTCGTCATTAAGTATGTGACAATTTGGAGGTTTAACGTCACCCGTGCCAGTGAGCTGGTTTTGGGTCGTAACAAACAAACGTACCAAGCGTGCTCGTAAACAAGTTTAGTGGGCACCGACCCGAGTAGAAATCTTTAGTAGGGACAAACTGTGGCAAGATTGTATGACTTTCCCAAACTTGACATTGTAAATTTTTGTGCACCTACTTAAGCTGCGATAAAAGTGTGTAAGCCATTTCAGCAGTACAAGATTTGCGTATGCTATTAGTAGTTAAATAATACAAGTTTCAACGGTATAGATGCACTGATTTCTTGATGTTTTGCATCCTTTTCACATTCACCTTTGGATCGACGCTTTTGAGATGTGGTGTTGGAGGCGGATGCTAAGGATTCCATGGACTGCACGGCGGACCAACGTGTCCATACTTGAGGAGCTCGGCATCACCACAAGGTTGTCCACTATCTGTTACCAGCGCATACTAAAGTATTTCGAACACATCGCTCGCAGAAACCCTGTCAGCCTAGAGGAGCTGATGGTGGTTGGCCAGGTCGACGGGGGAAGATCACGCAGACGGTCGCCTACTCGCTAATCAGACCTAGTAAAGTCGCTCACTGGCCTACCAATAACCAAGGATATAAAGCCGAGGACAGGAATGCGTGGAGAGACAGTACATCAGGTGTTCAACATTTCAAGTTAGACACGACCTTCAGCAATGAAGATAGCGACTAAGAAGAAGATCCTTTTCAGGATGCGTCTAATTTATTCAGACGACGCATCCTGAAAAGGATTCAAAACGTCAGTAAATAAATAAATCGGTGCATCTATACCGTTGAAACTTATTTTATTTAATGAGTGGTGTGTTAACAAGTATCTATTAGTGGTTATTTGGTATCGCAGCAAGAATTCATGCAGCGCCAAGTCGCTGACGATGAGTGCGGTTCTCACACAACTAAAAGCGATCCTGCTTTGAAGCCCAAGAAAGGAAAGGGGAAGAAGTGAAAATGATGCCGTGCTGTTTATCAATAGTTATGAAATGTGAAAAGTTTTTTAGACAAATATCCACTAAAATAGGGGTGATGACGGGGTACAGTAAACGAAATTGTATTTTGTCCGTCAGTTAGAGGACCAAAAAAATAATGGACACGTATTTTTTCTTTGGGCAATCACCCAAAAAATGACAAAGTTATAGCGCGTCAAAGTTTGGGAGTAGGGGCTCGTGACGACACTTTTAAGTGAAAATTGTACCAAAACGTGACGTCATGCGACTTTTCAAATCAATATATCTCTGCAATGTTCATATTATGTAAAAAAGAACAAATATGTGTACAATACTTTTTAATAATCTACCTGATAAATTAAAAAAAAAAAAGTCATCATCCCTTATAAGTAGCTACTTAATCTTGGTAGTTTTTAGAAAACATAACTTTGTGTAGACAATTGTAAAGTATTCATAGGTACTCGCATAAAGTAGGTACTTTGCTAGTCATTGTTGGTATTGGGTAGCCAAAGTAAACCTTGTTTGGTCCAAATGTCCTCCGACCTTTTATTAGACCCTTGTGTCATAAAAAAAATCACGAAGTTTAGGTACATCAGCAGTACTTACAAAGCTAAAACGGCTATTACACTACCCAATTTTAAGGGACCTATGGAAAGGGTGGGCGTGACCCCTAGCTAGGATAGCAATTATTACACCGCCCTATCAATCGGACCATAACTAAGTTTAAAAGTAAAAATCGTCTCGGTTGAACGTCGTCGTTATGGCACCCAATGCATTCTGATCATTTGATCAATCATTGATTTGAAATTTTTTAATAAATTTCTCTACATCCATCGGCACTTTTCTCTTTATTTAAAGGAAAATATGTAAAAGATCATCAAAAAAAAATTAAACTCTCACATAAATAAAATTGGGTTAGATTAGGTTACCATTTATTTTAGGATCAATTACTAATTTAGGCTGTTTATTTAAATACAATGTGCCTTATTTAAATAGATTTAGATTTCTATTTGCCACAATCAAAATTCTCAATTAAAATTAAGTAGCACTTCTATCTCTTCATTAGATGCCATCGCGCCAATAAACTAATTAGACTACAAAAAAGTCCATACGCTTTCAGGGCGTCGGTCGGCTCCCTTAGTGCCTAACAGCACTACCCGATTGTTCTGTTGTTGTCTAATAGGCCTTCTAAAGACTAATATGATCATTATTGATAGACCGGAACCCATACTTTATAACTTATATCTTAATCAAAAATAATATAATTAAAGAGATACGTTTGTTTACTTAATTGAAGGCACGATGACAGGTTAATGAGTTTCCTTTATTGTCCTCATAGTGTCTCTTTCGTTAATTTAGTGCTGCCACCTATAGTTCCTGCACATTCCCTATAATATAGACTATAAAGTAAGTAGTTTATGTATGTAGTTAAATTCCATTTCAAAGGCACCTATTTTTAGTTTGAAATGGAATTATTTAATGGCATGATTCTAGTAAGTAGATTCCTTGGAATCGGAAAACATAGTAAGGATACCAAAAAAATATTATCTCGATTCTCGACCTCTTCTGTGCTTCTAAAAAACGTTGAGCCGTTGGTTCCGGCTGCATCTGCTGTCGTTAGCAGTCTAAGAATCCATCTGTCTGCCCTGGGCGGATGTGATGGTTCATGGCTCACTTCCTATTCCATCCCATAGCGAAGGCCTGTGCCCCAGCAGTGGGGAAATTAATATGTCGATAATGATGAGTAATCAGTGTGAGTAAGAGTAATATGTATTTTGCAGTTGGTGCAGTCGTCACCGCTGCTGCCCCAGTTGATTGTGAGCGAGCGCGGGCCGCAGAGCAAGGGCAAAAAGTCGGAGATGGAGGCGCGCGCGCACCTCCCCACCATATGACTGGCGGCGCCCGCGCGCCCGCGGTACTGATCCCAATGAATAAACCAAACTTGACAACACAACTACGATCTTTTATTTAACCTTCTTTCTCACCTACTCGCGGTAACAGTACCCCTAGCACGAACCATTATTGAATTCTAAGGCATTGTCCTAATACAACGCGATAGCGCGATCATCGCGCGTTTGAACGATGCGACCATCGCGTGATCGCGAACTGGGTGTCCCATATATACAAAGTTACTCTATGGGGTGTCCTAATAGAACGCGAATACGCGATCACGATTGACACACAGTTTGGTCGGGTTAGCAGTGCCCCTCTCCTCGCTTCTTATCGACGCGACGCGATCATCGCGCGAACTTCAAATAGGACATCTATTCATCATTAATAGATTTGATTGCGCGTTCGCGCGAACTAAGTTCCCGCGAATAGATTTTTAAACATTTTAGTCGCGCGAATGCATCGCGCTATTAGGACACCTATTCTAGATCAATATGTTTGATCGTCGACTCGTAAGATGATCGCATCGCTCATTCGCGTTGTATTAGGACAATGCCTAATAGTTTGCAAACCGAAATGTCAATGTCAAATGTATGGAAACTTGAACAGCAGCGGCACAAAGTACTAATAGTCCGGGAGGCACCAATCCTGAAAGCTCCGTGATCACGGATTCTAATATTTTTAATAAAAAATAAAAGTTAACGTTTAGACGAACAAGATTTGCTTGGTCGGCGTGGATTTGATTGGCCGGAAATATTTTAATTAAATTATTTATTATTAAATTTCCATAATTTTTTTCCGTTATCACGGATTTTGATCAATCTTATATAGAATTCTGTGTAAAATATTATGTTCAACAAGAAAAAATCCGGCCGACCAATGATTTTTAGCCGGAAAGGTCACGCATACCTATTTGAATGGTGTGATAAGGGGTAAAATTTATCCATTATCACGGAAACCTTTTTTTGTTTTTTTTTTAATTTACGCGTTTTAATGTCACATTTATAATTATCTTGGTATGCGTGCTTACAAACTGCCGAAAGTATCGCCCATACCAAATTTTAACTCTTCGCTTTATAACGGTTTCTATATTTCTGAGTGAGTGAGGCAGATTTTTGGTTCAAGTTGAAACCTTGCATGAGTTCGTCTCTTTCTATTCCCTATGAATTTAATTTATTGGTTCGTGCTAGGGGTACAGAACTAAGGCAAGAAGACGGAAATCTGACTGACGGCTATGATACTGATACCTATGAATAAAACAACCTGGCAATACAACCAGACTCTTTTATTTAACCTTCTTCCACACCAACTAGGCAAAATCGGAGGGCACGGCAGTGCCCCCGCCAAGTCGAGCGCGAAGCAAACACTGCCGTACCATCCTTTACTGGAACCATTTCGCCGCATTTTCAGGCCCCTATTTGAGAACCTCTGGATAAGACCAGAACGCAAAAATTTTCGTCATCCAGTAAGCTATAATGACATATTTAAAATCCAAAATTTCAAGTCTGTAGGTCATTTAGTTGGTCGGTTAAAAAGAAAACGAAACTTCTACACTTAAATAAAATATAGCTACACAACTAACGGTGCAATTATTCTAAAAATAAATACCTAATTTCCATATAATAAGAAAGGATTCTTTCAGTTTGTTTAGTTGTACAACGAATCAGTTTCATTTGTACCATTGATGGAACTAGCAATACAACAGTATTCATGTAGGGTACAATTTATCCAAAATTACACTAGTACCATTGATGGTACCTTTTTATTATACTTTTTTTCGTGTACAATAAATTATTATATTTGTTTCTTAGGTTTTCACGCACATCACTCATTAAATAAAACTAGTTTTTACGGGTTAATGCACGAAACTTTATTTATTTATTGACGTTTGACGAATAAATGATTATTCTGACGACGAAGCCTGTAAAGGCTACGAAACGACAATAAATAAATAAAGTTTCGTGCATTAACCCGTAAAAACTAGTTTTATTTAACAAATTATTAAATAAAAAAAGGTACAAAGTTGTATCACTTGTGCCATCAATAGTACTAGGACATAAAGGGAAAGTAACAACCTCATAAAAGTTATATTTATAGTACCCATAAGATTAGCTGTTCTCAAGACTAAGTTATTGTTGTGACTTTGTAATTTCTTCAGTTCAGTTTGTTTAGTTGTACAATGAATCAGTTTCATGTTACCATTGATGGAACTAGCAATACAATAGTTCAGGGATGATACAATATATCCTAAATTAGTGACACTAGTACCAGTGATGGTGCAAAACTATAAAAAAGTATCACCTGTACCATCAATGGTACTATCCATTGGTACTACTGACATAAAGTATCAACCTCATAATAGTTATATTTATAGGACCATAAAATTAGTTCTTCTCAAGAGTTAATTATTGTTATGCATTTGTAGTTTTTTCTTCAGTTTGTTTAGTTGTATAACAAATCAGTTTTATTTGGAACTAGCAATACAATATATCCTGATGGGGATGGTACAATATATCTTAAATTAGTGACACTAGTACACTTGTACCATCAATGGTACTATTGACAAAGGGAAAGTAACAACCATATAATAGTGATATTTATAGTACCCATAATATTAGCTCTATTAAAGACTAACTTATCGATGTGAGTTTGTAGTTTCTTTTTGGTTTTGAGCCTCTGAGCCTTTCGAGTATCTTCTGAGCCAAAAATACTGGGTTCATATTTACTATAGGAGTGTAAAGATTGGGCTGTTCGTGAAGAACACTATACAAGTCAAAACTAAGTTGTACTAACTTGTACTTATGTAATATTTCCCACAAAACTATGATTTCTACTCTTGATTTCATTTAGCCAACACTTAAGGAATTATATATATAAATTTCATGCCATATACCCATTGTAATACAATCATTTTAAGAAATACAACAATATTAATTTAACAATTTATTTACAACTGCTGTAAGAAAACATATGTATTTGACTGTTTATTTATCACATGAATAAATATTACTTACTTAAATAGATTTAATTATACTAAATTGTTACAATAAAACCCTTTATTCTTTTGATCCTATACTCGTGTTTTTTAACATCTGAAACAAATAAAATATGATCAGAAAATTAATTGTCATTGGAACTATAACAAAATAAGTGCTTATTTTCCTGTGTAACCTTGGCTGTTCCCTTGAGGGTACAATGGCAAATAAATTTTATAAGGGTACAGTACCCTTGACCATTAACCTGGCCAAATTAAACAGATCAATCTCAGAAGATCCATTGGCCAGATCCAGAATGAATCTAGTGAGTTTTCTTAAATTTCTTTTGTTCTTTTTATTAGGTAACCTATTTCATAACCTATAACAATGTTTCTAATAAATTTGATGATAATGTTAGGAGAATGAAATAATGTGTGGACCTTCATAAACGGCAGATTATTTTTTTCTTCTGGAGATACCAGACTCTCCATGTCTTGCAATTTATACCAGCCGTAGTGTGCGCCGATAATAACAGGTACCATTACGATTGTTATTATATTTCTTGATATAAATTTCTTGGCACTCATTGTGCATTAGACCTATCTATCTGATTTTCTTCAGGTTACAGCAAAGCTAGGGTGGTTTAACTTGTGCTGTGCTTTAAATGTTTTAATAAAATTTTGGTTTCATTTATTTATTTTTGACTGACTGACATTGGCATGTTGACATTAAACGGAACGATTCGTTTGTCACTCATAAGACAACATCGACTTCAACCATAGAATGACTTCAACTTATAAATCTTTCATACGCTTTTGTAAATAGGTAGTAAAGGTTTTAGTTACTCAATCAATCACTACCAGAAACCAGTCGTGTGGTATTTTTTAACAAATATGTACAAGTTTAAACCAAGGAATTTATTACCGTACATCAAACGGAACGTTTTATCAGTATGTTTTCATATGACGGCTGCAGCAAAATTATAGAAATTATAAACGAATAGCAATGTTCATATTCGTTTCGCATTTTCTTCTTAACCAATAGCAATGCAAAAACAATTTGACGTTTTGTAAAGTATAGTGAAATGGAATGGAAAATAAATATTTCTTTAAAAACATGGTGGCAGCTCAGTGAAGAGAGCGATTTTTTCGGCTAGTCATTAAATTTTGGAGCTTATTTTATAAGAGTGTTTGATACAAATTGTAAGTATTATATGTTTGTCTGCATTCTACAAGTTATATCATAGAATTCTTAAAATAAATTCAACTTTTCAGGTAAACACCACATCAATAAGCTTCATAAAATTCAGGATGACGTCTGAAGAAACCCAGATTTCCGATAACCTGAAAGTATGTTACGAGAATCTTATTGTGATTGATATAGGCGCAAACCTGACAAACAAGAAGTACGGCCGTGATCTCGATTCTGTTATACAAAGGGCAAAGGATGCAGGTAATTTTTAAGTGAAAAATTAATTATTGTCCCAAATTGCGTGTATGAGCGTAGTATATTACACGGCGGTCGGTTACAGCCACTCACTGTTAAATTAATTCACATTTCAAATCATTGCACCAGTGAATTCCATGCATTCTTGGTTCAATGTTTCTATGATTTCGTTTTATTATTTACTTTCAACTGTGTACACATAAATTTCTCTAGTCATTAAAAATGTTCAATCAGCTGTTAGAATATTCTTGACTATCTTTTCACTTCATTTTATTTAAAAAATAAAAAAAGCGATATATTCTAATTAATTCGTGTAGAAATCCTGTAGATTATTTTCTTACACATAATGTATAGCATACTATAATTATATATATATTAATAAGAATATATTAATTGTATAATGTGTAACATAATTATTTGTGTAACATCTAATTAGAAATTATTATTTTATTTAACATGTACATTATTTTTATATAGCAACAAGAGTGTAATTATAGTGCAAGAGTATCTAGCAGTGGATTTGAAAGTATAATACTAAGTTCTATTTTCTTTATTGTTGTGTAGGTGTCCAAAAGATTATGGTCACAGGCACATCAGTCAGGAATAGTAAAGAAGCTCTTCGACTGACACGTCTCTATCCAGGCACAATATATTCTACAGCAGGTATTTATAGTTATTTTTCTATGCAAAGGGAATAACTTATGGTATAATTCCCTTTTCTGCAACATTAATAGTGTAGTATAGATTCCATTGAAACTGTTTCCTAGCATGACTGTTAATCCTTTTTCACATAATCTACCAAGTGTTCATCTTTTACTGTGTTTTTATACACAGTAAAAGATCTATCATATGATAAATTAAAAAAAATAGAAAAAAAAATAGGCACAATTTTGTCATTGTTTTTTGAAGTGAAAAATTCTCTAGCACCATTGTGATTAGAAACTCGATGAAACGGAAAATTTAACAGTATTTGACGCAAGGTGTCCATAATTTTGTAACTTTCTGCAAAAGACAGAACATCAGCCGAACAGTAGTGGTCTTGGGGTTGACACCAAATGATTGGTGTATCAATCCTGAGCTTGCTTATTTTTTTAATTGTTTTTTTTTCTTTTACTAAGCTATTATTTATTTTTATTGTTTTTTTTTCTTTTATTAGGTTATTATTTATTTTTCAAAACATAGTATATTTAATTTTGCCCAGTATGTTACGGTACGTGGTCATGAAGGACTTTTACGTGTTCACATTTTTGTAGGTTTCACTTCAATCGCATATGAACAGCAATATCCTTTTTTATATCAACAAACTGTTTATGAAGATTATACTATAAACAACTAACAGATGGAATGTTTTTAAACACACATCATAGGGGAGCAAAATATTGTGAATAAAGCATGTGAGAACCAAACAACACTTCTTTTATCTACACTGGAAATTAATTTGTAATATCTAAGTTTACATTGAGATTATGATAATGTAGTCATATTATAGGGTGGCAGTAGTTAACCATATATAATATTGATTCAGGCGTTCATCCTCATGATGCGAAGTCGATGGTGGAAGAGGAGATGTGGTCCGAATTGCGGCAAATAGCGAGTGCACCCGAGTGTGTGGCCGTCGGAGAGTGCGGACTCAACTACAGCAAGGACTTCTCTGAACCGCATGTGCAGCGGACAGCCTTTAAACGACAGGTTGGTTATTAAAATACGTATTTATTTATATAGAATGCTCATGACTTTGTATATTTGGTTACCATGAAAAAACTCATTTTCCATCTTTCCCCTTTTTAAGTTTAACATGACACAAGAATAGCTTTTGACTTTCCAAGAAGCCCTAGCTGATTCTCAGACTAAGAAAAGCTAGAAACAGGGTAAATTGGAAGAGGACAGAGTAGGCCACTTATAATGGTATATTATATGCAGTAACATTATAGTTATTGATTATCCATAATTGACGTACAATATAGTATGTATGACATGTTATGTCGCAATTTTACTCATTCAGTAACCAATTGTGGTCGGCGCAATGGGTGTGTGTTTCACAATAAAACAATTGATTGATAAGTGCGATTGCCATGCTATCAACAACATAAAAAGGAAATCTGAATTAAATTTATAGGAAACGGTAAATTTCGAATGTGCCAGTCTGCCAAATCTGGCGGAGTTTTATGTATAGTCATGTATGTGGTCACTTTTTCAAATAATAATCTACATATATAAAACTCAGAGGTGACTGACTGACTGACATAGTGATCTATCAACGCACAGCCCAAACCACTGGACGGATCGGGCTGAAATTTGGCATGCAGGTAGATGTTATGACGCAGGCATCCGCTAAGAAAGGATTTTGATCAATTCTACTCCGAAGCGAAGCGAGGGCGGGCCAGTAGTTGTGCATAAAATGACAAATGATAGTATGTATGTTTTTTTTGCCCTGGGTTTAACTCATTACACAGAGTACCTATTTTTCTTTCAATTCATGTGGTAATTAGAAGTTCTTAAGATTTAGTTTCAGATCCGAACATGAACCCTGTAAGGGCAGTACAACATCGATATACAAAAAATAAAATAAAATACACATAATTAAGCAATCACAGTACAATTTTAGATTACAAGTACGCTACCTTTCATCAAAAAACTGTTGCATACTATAGAAAGGTTATATATATATGTATTATATATTCAATAAGTTTTGTTTCAAAATTTGTTAATTTTTTTTACGTTATTATAAATTTTAATTGCGTTTATTCGTGGACCTGAACTATGAACTTTAAGATTTGATGAGGGCAAGGCTACATTATCTTTGTATCTCAAATAGTGTTGCCCAAATTCAGTCTTGGTCTTGCTGTCTTGGTCTTGTTCTTGCATTTTTGCAAGACCAAGACCAAGAACAAGACCGCGTATTTTTAGCAAGACCAAGACCAAGACTGACCGTGCAAGACTTGAGCAAGAACAAGACTAATCCGGCAAGACTCTTGCGTCTTGCAGCTAGGACTTAGCGCTATTTCACGGAGTAGTTAGGTATAACAGTTCGGAGTATAGGTACGCTTAGGACTTCTATGAGACGCAAAAAACTGTATCAAAGAATATGAAAAACTGGACCTATGCGTATTACGACGGGGTAGTAGATGTCATAATAATTTATTCTAGTAAGTATATTTTATAATATTGATTATATGGGTTTAAACTAATTACTTAGGTACTATTATTGTACATTTAGTCAAAATATTTCTTAAATTTCTTCTTATCAAATCTTCAGACATTTATTAATCTGATTGGTCTTTACTATGGCAATGTTAATTCAAGCTCACAATGTTCCAATTCTGATGCGTTATTCTAAGATCTAAAGTAAACTTTAATAAATAGCAATAGTCTAATAGGTAATTGCAAGACTTGCAAGACTCTTGCTGCAAGACCAAGACCAAGACTGGGAGCGCAAGGCCAAGACCAAGACTGGCTAAGTCTCGTCTTGTTCTTGCATTTGGGCAACACTAATCTCAAATTAATTGATGTACTAGAACAGTCCTGTTTCCTTGAGGGAGGAGAAATCCCTGATTCGTTATTTTATATTCTTCTTGATATAAAAAGGGTGGTGAACAAGCATTTATGACCCGGCGATATATGAGTATCGCTCGTTGCCGACCCCGACCTTGGGTGTATTCCGTAATATAAACCAGTATACTAGCCAGTGCTAATGACTTCATGAATCGACGCTATACTGGTGAATTGTTCCGAAATATATTGGCCAGTGCACTGATGTCATACATCGACGAAATATTAAAAATAGTGCGAATGAAGAATATTTTTTATTCATCACATCAATTAAAAGGAATTATTTTTGTTCCGATGCCATTATTGTTCTATAAATAAAAAAGAAATAATATTCGAATGCATCTCACGCACGCTCGGTCATACGTCATATCCGGTTTTCCGGTAAAAATATTGTGGTAGCATACCAGTACAATATGGCGTTGGATTCGTGACGTCATTACCACTGGCCAGTATACTGATTTATATTTCGGAATACACCCCTTATCTCTACTTCACAAAGCCCTGATCATCTTACTCACTGACGGATAAGTGATGTTACTTATTCGATACAGGTGCCCAGGTTACCGAATGCGCCGAGAACGGCATCGCTAAGCCAAAGTTCGTGGCTGTGACTGGTGAAATATCACAAAAGTTATATATTTTATTTATTAAGCCTGTAACTCCTCCATGTTTAAATCTAAAAAAATATTACTAGAAAACAATCCACGAGGACCAGGCAGCAGACGGGACTCAAATCCGCACCCTTTGCTATCCGGGCGAATGCATTGATAATTATGCTGTCGCGGCCCTGATGGCCGTGTCGAATCTTTTCTAGACTCCTAAGCTGCGAGGCAGCGCCATCTCTTCGCATTGTAGGTCATATTAAACATTTGACCTACAATGATGATACTACGAGGTGATGATACGACGATGATAAGAATAATGCATTTAGTAATGGCATAATGAATCAGTACTTAATGAGACGATTCTTTGTGGACTGGACATATTTACTTTCTGATAATATTTTTGGTTTGTGTACATGACACAAATAGTCAACATTGTTCAATCTCATATCAAATTGTACGAGATTTATATTTACCTCGTATCATGTATAGATGAGGAGCTCGATGGCGCAAGTGGTTAGCGCGTTCGGCTGCGATCATTGAATATAAGCAACTTTCGCAGTGGTCGGTCATTGGATGGGTGACAAAATCTTCTATCTCGAGTTCCTCCGTGCTTCGGAAGGCACGGTAAGCCGTTGGTCCCGGCTGCATCTGCAGTCGTTAGCACCCGCCAATCCGCACTGGGCCCGCGTGGTGGGTCATGGCCCAATCTCCCTATTCCATCCATAGGGAAGGCCTGTGCCCCAGCAGTGGGGACATTAATAGGCTGATGATGATGATGTATAAATACTGCTAAATCTCGAACATTAAGAGTTCTCATACGTTTGGATACACTGCGCGCAGCGCGGCCTCGCCCGCGACAGCACAGGTCGTGGGACAGCGCCTTAAGCTGTAGCTCATAGCAATGTCGTGGCCGAGACGTTCCATAGTACAAACGGAAGTACATTGATACACTTATTTTTCAATAGAGGACCGTTTGTATAGTCCGTATGTCAATAGTATTTATTTATCTGTTCCTTTGTATTGTAAATGTAGCATGTCTCACTTTATAAAAGGTATCACGTTGAAAAATGCCTGTCGCATGATTGTGAATGCCGTTTTAGTGTGTTATCAGGTGGGGTTTTTTATAACATCCATACCAATCATGTATATATGATACGCGTGAGCGTGTCTGTCTGTCTGTCTATAACCTCTTCACGCTTAAACCGCCGAACCAATTGAGTCCCGGGAGAGGACATAGGACAGTGCTTATTCTAGATTTCACCCTTTATGGGGGTGAAAAAGGAGAAGGTGGACGTTTGTACGAGAAACAAATATTAACCCCAGACGGAAGTCGCGGGCTCCCACTAGTCACATCACACTTATATTAAAAAGGCGAAAGTCAGTGTGTTTTTTGTTACTTCTTGACGTCTAAACGCCTGGAGCAATTTTAATAAAATTTGGTATGGAGTTAGCTGACACCCTGGATTAACACATAGGCTACGTTTTACTGCGGTAAAATATCCCTAATAATAGCTAGTTGACTATAAAGATATGTACTCGAATGAAAACTAAAACAAGAAATATATATATATATATATATTACATATTTCATATCCTTAGTAATTTTATAAATCCGTAAGTTACTATGGCTCGTCTCTATGTCTTACGCTTTCACGCCTAAACGCCTTAAGCGATTTTGATGAATTTAGGTATAAAGAATAGGGCTCTCGCCACTTCGCGCATACGGGGGAGTACCATAAAGACACTATACGGCGTTCCTTGCTAAGTACGAAACCATAAATAATAATATAAATAATAAATATTTCCAACACTCACACCAATTAGCCTAGCCCCAAAGTAAGCACTGTAAGGCTTCTGTTATGGGATACCTAGGTTAACGGATAGAATACATATACTGTACATAAGTATATTTATTTAGAAATACATATTAAACATTCATGAATGGAGCACAAATGCTCGTATTCATCACACGAACATATGCCTCCACCGGGATTCGAACCAGGGAGCTCTTGAGTCGGCGACACCATGAAACCCGGCGTACAAACCACTCGGTCACGGAGTTCGTCAAATAACGAGATTCTGAACAAAGGAAACAGAAACAATGATTTAATTTAGTGCCGAGTTGTTTTCGACCACGGCTATTGTAGCAAGCTGTCGGACCACGTTGGCAATTGCACGTGGGCCAGGTTAAAAGAGATGGTCCTTTCCACATCACGCACACAATTAACAAAAAAGCGTTCAACTATATTAACAAAGGAAATAAAACCTAAGTGACGCCTCTTAAACTTAGCTAAGCAGATACACTGGCATAGCGAAGCCACATTTTTTACAAATACAAATACAAGTGCTATATTTCCATATCGTTTATATTACATTGTATACAACTTCTCCATTCACATGCCATTATCAATAATTTTCTTTGTGTGTACTGTACATAGAATATATAATTTATTGACCGATGGAAAAAACCTACAGAGGGTAGACCGATATGTCTGCCAATAACAGTACCGGCGCTTGCGACGGTGCCGAATTTTT